CTTTGTCTGTCATCGATGAATGAAGAAATGCGCACACAAAAGTCAATTACATGCGTTCTTCTGGCGTTCTAGTTAAATAGATGAATCTCTTGGCATTATCCGATTTTTCTTTTGCTTTTCAGTTTTCAGTTTTGCGCTTTTCACAAATTTCCTCGAATATTAGTTTTCCCCTTTGTCTGCTTCTTTTTAAATGACAGTTGAAGGGTTTTCTCTTGGCTCACATATTGGATCATTCGCCTTTGGTAAATTTGTGGCGAGGGCGTTGACGGACATTTTTGGTCTGTGGAACGCTTGACCCGAAACCTGTTCAGGTGAATGAGAGAGAATGTATATTGGATAATCTTGGAAATCTCAAAGTATGCGAAATCTAAATATTATTTATTGCAGTGTGAGAGTTCAAATAGACTGAATGATTGCATATACTAGAGTATATAAAGGCATAAGAAATGTTTGTTTTTTATCCCAGAATAAGTTTGTGAAACATTAGACAAGTTGAGTAAAAAAAGATCTTGGCTGTCATTGTGTGCTATTCGGTCTGCCAGCGATAGAGAAGGGTCTGCAGGCACCACAATGAGAACACATATGCTGCCTTATATCTGGCATATCAATCGCCGAATCGATGCGTTGTCATAACTGCTTTTGGTTTTGGCAGTTTCTCTTATCGATTTGCTGCAAATCTCAGGGCAGCGCTTCAGCTGCATTGTTTACCTCCATCCATCCCAGACGGGCTATCTGCATATGTGCCCGGGCGCATGTGTGTTTGTAATCCGTGTTTGCCGTTTGAAATTCGCAAGGATTAAAGCCACTCAAGCAGTGATGCGCATCTCAATTGTTGGTTTCGTCTGTGTGCGAGTTTTAATGCTCTCCATGCGACACAATTGCCAAATGCCGGATTGATCGTTAACGATAAATCAGCTATCCGATCGCTTGAACAATTTGCGAAAACTGTTTGCTTTGTGGCCTATGAAATAGAAGCCGATGCTTATCGGAGCAGGACTCAAGCGAAGCAGAAGCTTCGCTCCTTCTGCTGCTGACCGAGGCTGCAGCGGTAACCCGAATAAATGTAGAAATGGAAATCCTTGTATATACAGGATATATGTATACCCTGTGCAGATATTAAAAGCGGTTCGATTCATAGCCTTTCATAGCCTTTCCAAGTTTCTCTATCTTTAAAGGCTGAATATATTGATCGAGTCTCATACCTTGCGGCATACTTTAGGGCGTCTGCTTAGCACAAATTGAGCTGTCATCTTTGTACAGGGTATCTTTTGTCAGGTTGCCATAGCGGTGCTGTGCTCTGCTGTGCTCAATAGGCTGCAGCTCTTTGGCCATTTTCCCCCATTTTGATTAACATTAATGAGCAACAAAAAGTGCAAAATTTACATGGCAACAGTCGCCTTTTTTTTTGGCCCCTTTGTTGTGCGGGCCTTTCAGAAAATGTTCTATTGAAATAAGTTGGCAGCAATGTGTGGCATCACCTGCCCGGCCCCACCAGCGCTCCACGCGCTATCAACGGGAGTAGCAACAACGGCGATTTAGGCATTAGACTCCATTGAATTGCCGTTGATTTGTGGCATTTGCATACGCTAAAGCGCTTAAAGCCCCAAGACCCCAATCGCTGAAGCTAACCTAAATGGGCGCCGTTAACAGGCTATACATACATACATACATACATACAGCTCGTATTCGTAGTCGCATTCATATTGTATATTCATTATATTCAGTTGCATTTCAGAGCCAGTGGAGGGGGCTCTGAGATTGCATTGTCAGCGCCTTATTGTTCAACTACTCATTAACATTTATTTGCAAGTGCAGAGAATGCAGAAGAGAGGCAAAGGCAACTGCCATGATAAATACGACAAACAAACAAGCAAGCGGACAAACAAACAAACGAAAGAAACAACGAGCGAATAGACAAACACAACAGACAAACAAATGCATTGCGAAAACAACTGAGAAATGCCAAAGCATCAGCGACTAGGTTAATACCCTATAATATTATATTAAGTGTGACTTGCATTAAATAATTAATATTTAATATTAATATTGATTAATTAATATTCAAATAAAACTACATATTTAATGTTATAATTATTAGTTTGATTTAATTCTTAATTTTTAACTGACTCGACTTGATACAACATTTTATATCAGGTGAACTAAATACAGGGTATACTATGTAATAACAATGGCTGCCTAACAGTAAAGGAGACGCAGAAATGACAGAAGCATTGCCAAAGACAATGGCCAGAGCCAAGTACGTAGACAGCACCAAAAGGCGGATCCAAATATGGAGGGCAGTTTATAAACTTATATACTAATAGGTGTAACCATATTTGTACATTCCTTTATTGGTGTTCTTCTCTATAACAAAATATGATTTTCTTTTGACTTTTTAGTTATCTTAAATTTACGTACGCAACGAATACTTGTGGAACTACCCTCGCTTGGCGAGTGGCACAGTTGCAATCATCAGTCAGTCAGTCAGTCAGTTGGTTGGTGAAAAGAGAGCTGGAAAAATGTGCGCCATTGTTCAGAACTTGCAATTGTTGACTGACAATTGGCAAAGAAGGTAACAAGTAGAGGTAACTGCCAGCCCCGCCTTACAATAACCCCCAACACAGCCCCAGCTCTAACCCTTTTAGTGTCTTGGCTGAAGTGGATGAGCAGCTCAAGTCATTAGAGTCAAATTAAATTAGAATAAGAATTAGAGCATTGCGCTGAGTTTGTGTGCAGTTGTCATTAGTTCGTTGTTAATTAAAATGAAGCCCAAAAGCGAGCCGAGTCGAGTCGAGGCAGTTCAGCTAAATCAAAATCAGCGCTAAAAAACCGCCCCGCAAAACAAAAGCAAACACCTGCGCAGCCCAAAACACGCAGACACATGCACAGCACCCACACACACACACCCACACACATATTTGTACACAATCATAGAGCTCTAAAAACAATGGCGACAAATGGAGCTGTCGCTGTCGCAGTCGCAGTCGCAGTCGCTGCCATTGCCGTTGCCGTTGCAGTCACTGTAGTTGTCATGGGCAACAGGACACCGAGGAAATTAATAGAACAAAGCGCTGCATGAATATGAAATACGGCGAATGGGCCAAAGGCAGCTGATACTCCAGCCAAGGCTCGAGAGTTGCATATTAAAGCGTATATTAGCCGAGAAAAAATAACATAAAAAATAAAATGAAAATGAAAAGGATAAGGAAAAAGGGCCAGCAGACCAAACATGTCAGCATCAGCTCGAAAAGTGTCCATTAAGATTAGTTGATTTTGCTTTCGATAGTTGCAAGCGCTAAGTAAATGCGTTAAATAAACAAATATACTATACAAAAAAAAAAAAAAAAAAAGCTGACAGGCGACGCGACTCCCATTCGACTCCTAGCCCTGCAGAAGGCTTTCCCCAACCAGAAGCCACGGCGGCGGCAGCAGCAGTTGGCGACGGCAGCTCGCAGTGGCAGAGCCAGTTACAATTGGAAACGCCCACCAGCACAGACACAGGCAGCAATCGACGACAACGATGGCGAGTCTCGGCACTATTGTCGTCTCGCTCGCACAAAAGGGCAACACCTGCTGTGCGTGGCGCTCAATTGGCGCTCTCTCTGGTTCATTCGCTCTCGGACTAGCGCACTCGCTCGCTCGCTTGCACTTGCTGCACACTGCCTCTCGCTCTCGCTCTCTCTCGTTCTGTCGTTCTCTCCAAGGCCCAGCTCAGCTGAGCGGTGCTCTTTTTACTTTTTAAGCGTCGTATTTCTTTGCTGTTTTTTTCTTGGCTCAAGTGTCACCTGCACCTGGCCGCGGCAGACCGTTTTGTGACTTTGGTGTCGTTGGCTGCGCTGCCTCTCTCACACACACACACGCGCGCAGCCAGACACAGAGAGAGCCATATACATGTACATGTAGGCCACTCATTTGCATGCCCACAAATTTTACTTATGTTTCAGTTATGCGACAACGTGAGCGGGTTTTCACATGTAACAAATTGTCATCAGAAAACTTATTAATCAAAGCGAAGCCAAACAAATAAACCAATAAAACGCTGCTGCTGTTAACCAGTTTACGTTCGTATTGGTGTGCTGCGAGTGTGTGTGTGTGTGTGTGTGTGCGACGCGTGAGAGCCAAAAACTCTGAGTGAGCAACTAAAAGTTTACATGGCAAAGCTTCTGGCTCCCCACTGTCCATGTGTGTATGTGTGTGTGTGTGTGTTTGGCTGTTTTTCTGGCCTCTGTCGCTGTCGCTGCAGCCAACCCCCCAAAAATGACAAGTCCGTGCGGCTCGTTCGTCTGCGGCTCGTGTGAGAGCGCGCGCCAAGTTTTTAGTTACGCGTCGGAACGTATCCGTTGAATAGCCGCCAACTCAAAGGCAGCGCTTAGGAGTCGCAACAGCAACAGCAGCAATAGCAATAGCAATCTCAATATCAGCCAGCAGCGACGGCCTTACTTGTAATCTATAGTTAAACAACAACAACAACTACAACTACAACAACAACAGACCGGAAAAACGTTTTGTGACCAGAAGCAAAATTTTATTGTTGCCAGTTGCAAGTTTCGTGTTGCATCAAGTTAACGAAACGCCCAAGCGACGGTTCAAGCACATTCAACTGACCAATAAACAAATCTATATCAATTGCAAACAAAATCATTACGTTTTCAGTGTTGTAAAATACCAAATGTTGCGACAACGCCCCAGTTTCCAATTGGGCATACAAAACCACAACAAAACCCTTCATGCAAAGTGCTCAACAAAACAAACAACAATACAAACACAAATACAACAACAAGAAGCGCAGGAACAACACTCGCTCATATAGCTCATAAAATCGTGAAATCCTCTAAGCATAAGCTACTTAAATACTTCGATACTTAAACAATAACAGCGAGAGCCCCATTCCCAAACTGAATGAATAAACAAATGAATGGAGATGCCCGCATAAACAAATAAACAACCTTAAATAAACATAAACTAGTGATATATTTAACATGTAATGTGCAAAACAAACATAAATACAAATCATATGCAACGGCTCAGTTTTGGCCTGGCTCGTAAAAGTCGCGCATAAATTAGACGAAAACTCAAACGGGACGGACTTTAAGCCAACCGAATGCGATAGCATTTAAGCCAACAACAAGTTTGTAGGTACTATATAGAATATACACCGTTATACTACATTCGATTCCAATCTCTGCACACTAAATACCAAGGCAATGCAGCGACACTCAAGGTGAGTCGCAAACATTACTTATATGGAAACTTATTGGAAGTAAAATAAATTTCTATATATTTTGAGAAAACCCATATAAACTTATAGATTCTCCTACCGATTATTTGTTTTAGCTGATCGTTTAGTTTGTCCCTCTCAAAGCCCAATCTGTAAATAAAGCCATCAAAACTTGAGAGTACAGAAAAAGAAAAAACAACAAAATTCAATGCTACAATTTTTTGGCTATTCAAAACTTGATTTTTTTCTTTGCTTTTTTTGGGCAAGTATTTGAATTTTTGGTTAATCATTCAGTTTATGCCGAATCATTATTGTCGGAATCTTTATGGGTTCGTTTCGCTCGTGTCTGAAACTCTTGCTTTCAGCTTTGTTTTTCTCGCAATCACATCCTTCATGGATCGCTTCTTTTATGGAGCTTTACCGGTTGTCTTCGTTAAGAAGGTGTGGAATGTGGGAATAAACGATATTAGCAGAAACCAATTGAAAAAGAATGGATTAAGCTTAAGATTGCAGAGCAAGCTATACAAATATTTACTCGACTTTCGTTGTATATGATATTACAAAATGAATACAAATAAAATGGTAATCCAATAATTTGATGAGTCAAAGAATGTTTTGAATATAATGTATATTTTCCCTATTAGCCCTCTTATAAATTGAATTACATAGTATTCTATTCCTTTTAAAATAACGTCATTTGCTAAATACACTAGTTTTTAATGATCAAATAAACAATTTAGTGACGTGACTTCTAAATGAGATACGTCCGGAGTCTAGGCTAAGTCGAACTACTTACCCGTGGATGGGGATGGCAAGCACAACTGTGAATTTCTGATCGGAAGACCAAATACAATTGTGCAAATAGAGTTTTTGTTAGTCGCACATTTTGCGTCTCGGAAAACAATAGGAATCTAAATGTGTGTACACACGACGCCAAATAGAGGTCCAGATGTTAAGTGTATATATTTATATATCTACACATATCTGTGGATGTTTAAGGCCAACTATGGATATTCGCACATCTCATAGCAGAAACCGGATTCAACAGCTTGGCATTCTAATTAATAACCATATTCGCATTCGCATAGGTTCTCTGGAGCTGTGCCCTCTGGAGAGGAACTTGACACTAAACCAAGAGATACATTTACGATGCGATTGTTGCGAGTGTGAAAGTTCTTAATTACAAACATTAGGGGGCCCCAGCGGCTTAGGGCTACGGATCACAATCACAGCGTGTGCCCAAGAGACACTTTTCAATGGGGAATGGGAACGGGAGTGGACCTGGGGAATGGGGAATAGGGAATGGATGAATAAGGGATTGGAACAACAGAGACGACTCTCAGCATAAGTAGAAGCGGAACGATACATTTCAACACAAAGTGGAGACACTTAAAGTTCTACCTGTATTGAACTGAGATTCTTGATTCTCGATTTTCGATTCTCAATTCTCTTGACTCTTGATTCTTGATTCTTGGTTCTTGGCTCTTGAGCCTAACTGCCACTTCAGAGAGCTGAGGCTGGAGCTGCCTCTGGGCCTCTGCGCCTCTGCGCAGGCTCAGCATGTGGCTAAGCCGATCATAATTCTTGTTTGACACTGCAACAAACGGATGAACAAATGAACGAGAAGCAAGACAGGGACCCCAAACTGTCTGACTGCCTGACTGGCCGGCTGCCCAGTTGCCCAGTTGGCCAGCTGCCCAGTCGCCCGGTTTCCCGACTGTCTGTCTGTCTGTCTGTCTGGCTGCCCAGTTGCAGTCATTCAGTCTGCAAGTCTCGACAACGGGTAGCACAGGTAACCATTCCGGTCATTGTGAAAACAAGTAGGAAATTTTCAACACTTGCACACTCGCTCAACTCGTTGATACCCTGTAAAACTCAGCTCACATTCTTATTCAAAAATAAACTCAGAAAGATATTCTCTTTCGCCTGCAACATCAGTTCAGTTGCTTTGATAGTCGAGATACCCCACTGCAGCTCTCGATTGCGTGGCATAAATATTTGCTTATGTGATCGGCGTGGTAATTTACTCCTACTGCGCCGAGGAATCGCCGCCAGAGATTTGCATAACAAAGGGAAAAGCGTAGACGAAGGCAGCCGTTGCATTGCCCATAAATAACTTGGCCGATATCTATTAACGCTTTTACTGGTGTTACTGGATTAGCGCAAAAGAGATAAAAACAGAGCACTTCATTCAGCTGGAGGGTCTATCAACTGACACAGAAGAGCCTCGATCTCGTCCCACGCTCTGCGTATTGATTGATAATTTGTTAGACAACTTTTATAAGTCAAATGGTTTTCCGTTAGCCAACTAATGTGTGGGAGCATTAGGGCTTGGGCTTTGGCTTTGGCTTTGGCTTGAAGGGCTGGCTGCGGCTATCTCTGGTAGCATGGCCGATGATATTCACAGCAAATAAAAATATCTGGAGTGCAATTTGTGCACAGCTGGTGGTGCAACCGGTGTGCCGGCGGTAGCCTGTGGTGCACTCCAGCAGCTACTCCAAGCATGCACCATATTTGGCAGCAGCAGCCGCAGAAACAGTTGCTGGCAGAGCTCTGCGCTCCCTGGCAACCTCACAGCATTCCACGCCAGGTTGACAACACAGAAATTTGTTTGCACTCCATAAGGATTACAAAAATATGCGATTCCCTCACCCTCCATCGTCCAGCAGGTTGCCAAACCCTTTTCTTTTTTCCACTTTTTTTTTTTGCATTTAATAAATTTCATGCTTAATTCGCATGCCTGGGCAATTTTTACTTTAACACCAAGTGGATAATGCCCGGAAGCAGTGCACATGTCGCAGTTGTCGTAGGGTACAGGAGAATTATGTGCCCGGAATGGGCAGACGGTCAGGATAACGGTGATATGGGTACGCCGTGGGAGAACGCAGAGGAATCAGCTGAAATAAAAAATAATAATAATTCCTATATTTATTTTACAACAATTATTCATACAGACGATACTCCTTCTGGCTCAGATATACGAATAGCCTTGTTATTGTTATTGGAAGTATGGGAAAAACAATATAATAACTATAGTTGAATTTTCATCTCAATTAGACATCCTATTTATAGCTAGAATAATAATTTGTTTAAGAGCAATCTGATCTCAGTCGCTTCTTCTTATTCAGTCTCAAATCTAAGCAGGTAACATAAATAATTTCACTGTAATTGTATAGTTCTAATTCTTTACTCTCCTTCAGTATTCAATTCAGTGTATTCTACTATCCAATGCTATAGAAATTTAAATCAATTTCTGCTTAAAGGGTAGCAGAGCTCTATACGTATAACCATAAGTACTTTGACAAATAAAAAGAGAAATATGAATCTCTTAGCGTATTGAGACCTGAAATCATATGAGATACGTTTCTGTGTATACACTTTGAATTTGTGAAAGCTCTGTTTAGGAAGCATACCCCTCAAAGCACTCAGAATGCCTTCCTCATCTATGCAAATATGCAGTGCGAATGACACATTTGTCGAGCATTATGCACGCTAAAGAGCATCGCCCTGATGCGGACGGACGGTCGCCCAGTTCTGGGCTATGTGTTATGTGGCTCCATTTACTCGAATGTCTTCCGCACGCCCAGCTCAATTGTAGTCCAGAATCGAAGCGTCGCCATCGTCACTGCACCATTAAGCAAATTGAAAGCGTTTAGCCGGACGCAGCTTCTTGACCATGAACCGGGAACCCTTTTGCCACTACAAAACATATGCGTGTGTGTGTGTGTGTGTGTGTGTGAGTGACTGTGTATTGGTGGTGTGTATTTAACACATTAATGCGAGCGACCCACACACTCTCGTTTGGCATGGGCATCAAGTGGACCACATAAATCCCGATTATAATGCACGCACATGTGAATGGCTAAAGACTCAGATTTGAAACCTATCAACGTCCAATGACCCGGCGACCTGTGCCTGTGCCTCTGCCTCTGCCTATGGCTCTGCCTCTGCCCGGCCAGCGGGCAGAATACTCTCGAATGAAAAGAAATGGCTTTCAAGTGCCCAGATGCATAATGAACAGGACGTATCCAGTATGTTTCTGGACGCCGTCGCCGGCGTGTGCAGCCCGTCCTCCCTAAGGGTTGACATTTGGGCGCACACAAAGGGCTCGAGCGAAAAGGTTTCTCGAGTTGAGGTGGCGACCGCCGGCATTGTTTTCACTTTATACTGCAGTAGCGGGGGGAGCACGGCCTGGAGCCAAGCCATTTGGGGTACGGGCGACAGGCGACACACTTTTAAAAGCCCAAATCAATTAGTTAATTGATTAACAAAGGAAGAAGAACGAAGCAGAGAGAGCTGCTTTAATTTCGAATTTGAATTTAATACGCTTTGTGGCATTAGTACTTATGAACAACCTCATCTCAACCCAATCAACAGCCTGACTTCTACTCTGCAAAGCACCTTAGCCACTGAGTCCATACGAGCCACTGCAGCAACCACAGAGTCCCGGCCAAGAGCCAGCAGCAATTCGACTGCAGCTCCGTCTAGAAAATGATGGAACGCTTATCCACGCACTTGTCGCTCTCTGGATTATCGCTCGCACATCCACTGCAGAGTCATTTGAGCTCGGTGAGCTCCACCAGCGGCACGCATCTGGGCCAACTAATACAGCACCATCAGCAGCAGCAGCAGCAGCAGCAACAGCAGCAGCAGCAGCAACAGCAACAACAGCATTCGAGTGAGCATAGTCACGCCCACAGCCACGCCCACCATCACAGCCAGCAACTGTCGCTGGGTCAGCTGGGCCAGCAGCACCACCACCACCAGTGCAACAGCAAYAGCAGCGGCGGCGGCTCGCCCAACGGCAACGGATCCTCGGCTCTGAGCTTGCATCCGCACCTGCATCACTCGGCGGCAGCCGCAGCGGCCGCTCATCACCTGAGCTCGCAGCACTCGCAGCTGCACCAGCATCATCAGGCAGCGGCGGCTCAGCAGCAGCAGCAGCAGCCACATTCCACAGCCTCGCACCACAGCCAGGCGGCCAGCTCCGGGGCGGGCTCCATACACAGCCAGTCGCAGACGCAGTCGCACCAGCCCCACAGCAACGGCATTGGCCCGCATCTGTCCGCGAGCGCGGGTCACAGTCTGGGCAGCTCCAGCTCGAGTGCTCCGGTCCACTACACGTCCACGTCCAGCACATCGAACAGCGTAATGGCTGCCGCCGCCGCCGCCCACCTGCACCACAATTCGCAGGCGTCGCCCATCAGCAACCTGCACCAGAACATGGGCAGTCTCATGAACAGCGGCAGCAGCGCCAGGTGAGTGGACGTTGGCACCCAATCTCGTTAAGTGTTATCGCTAACGGCTTCTCCTTACTCCATTCACAGCGATGTCTTCTTCAGCCTGATGATACAGAACACAACGAAGCGCCAGAACGAGGAGCACATCAAACGTCCAATGAACGCTTTTATGGTCTGGTCACGCTTGCAGCGCCGCAAAATAGCCCAGGATAATCCCAAAATGCACAATTCGGAGATATCCAAGAGGCTGGGTGAGTGCAAATATTTACCTAGTATATTATTGTATTCCCATAAGTTCTATAAACTCTGCCGGAGCAGCAGAGTTCTCCACTTCAGTTATTAGCTGAGCCGAGAGCTGAATTGAATGGCTCGAGAGCACGCAAACAGCTCAGCTGGAATCCAAATCGTTTTCAGACTGTATGCGCTTTAATCTCGTTCGCTTTCCTTCTGTTTCCTCTTTTTTAATGAACCACAATGGGCAAGAGCCGTGGCTTTCTGTGCAAGCACTCGTAGTATGTTTGTAATCTGAAAACAATGAAAGAATCTCACACAAAACTAAATTAAGAGGCGGCACACGACCTGCCAATCTCTCGCGCCCACTCACGCTCGCCCCGCCCCCTCGCTCGCAATCTCTTTCTCCAGCTTACTGATGCAACTTAAACTAATCAACGTAATACCAACTGGTATACCCTGCCCCTTGCCCTTGCCCTTGCCCTTGTCATTGCCATTGCTATTGCTTGACTGCCACCCACTCCGAATTTCGGTTTATGACAATGACAAACCAAAAACTCGTCCGTTGCGCGCACTCAACGCAACTGTCAAAACTGACAAGCGGCTGTCAAACAATGGCAGGAAGAGCAGATCGAGCCAAGGAAGCTGTTGATTATGCTCGTATATGAATCAGAGAAGGGTTGCCTACACACATACACACACGCACCCACCAAGAGAGACTCTGCCAAATCATCGCTGCTTGCCTTCTGCCTCCTGCCTCCTGCCTCCTGCCTCCTGCCTCCCGTCCACTGCCCCCTGCCTCCTGCAGCATTGTCTCGCCGCTTAACTAGTTGCAAAGTTAAGTAGTTTACTTCTAGTGGGGCGACGGCGGCAACGGCTAATCCCACGCACAAACAACGAATCTTATCTGGGCCTCTAGGTTTTGGTTTTCAATTCGCATCAAATTCAATTTCAATCACACACGCAGCCCGGGCAGGGCACGTGGCAAGTGACAGCAGAGATCCTTAGCATAACAATGGGCAAGCGACGCAGCTACCTTTTCGGCCAGCTCATGCATATTGGATGAGTCTAGCGTCTTGGCATAGCTGCTTTCTTGCCGTACACCAATCGGGCCCACGGAAAATACTGTCATAACAGCGATAACAGCGCCGGCTCCCTCGTCGATAACGAGCCAAATGTTGCTGCCGCCGAGCTTTTGGGGCAGCCATTTTGTGCAATTTTTTAATCAAACTCGACGGGGGGCCACTCACTCCCACTTCCATTTCACCTCATCCAAAGAGTTTCCGCCACTGAAGCACTTGTAAAATGACTTTTTCTTTTTTACCGTTGTTTAAGCAAAAACAATGCGAATTAAACGCGACTCACTTGCAGTGCAGTTGAGCGCGACAACAACAACAACAACAAAAGGCGAACTCGCTGCACTTGAAAATGGGACAGCAGATGGGGCACAAAGTAATGCAACAGTTATCGACTGAAGAATACCTCGTCAAATGTTTGCTAATTGCAATATAATTTCGATAGAAATTTAAGAATTTACTGAAATATTATTTATATAATATCATAGTAGGTAAGGGAACAGTTATCGACGAGAGAATACCCTGTCAAATCTTATCTAGAATATACTTTTGTCTTTATTTTATGAATGTAAAAACAGATTTGTATATAATTTTTATTTTGAATTAAATATATATTATTTAATATTTTATTTGAAAGTTCATCCGCTCCTTCTGGCTGCGGATCGCAGCTACCTTATTGCCAATTGTTGTTACAGCCAGGCAATAAGGGTTGCTACAGCTGATTCATGCTGTGTGTTTATTCTTTATTCTTTATTCATAGACTTTAAAGGCATTTCTTAATCAGGCAACTGGCTGCAAACGCTTTACGGGCAAAGCTCAAGTAGCAGACCGAAACCAATATATGAAAATCGATGTACGGCAACAACAACAACAACAACAACGACAATTTAAACACAATATGCACTCGAAAAAAAACTTGAGTTTTTTTTTTCTGGGTGGGCTGAGATTTTGTGGGAAGGCGTGAGCTTTTGTTCCCATTTCATTTCACCTTTTTGTCGTTGTTGTTGTTGTTGTTGTTATTGTATTTTGGCAAATCCATTATGTCAATTGACAGTTCTGTGTAATATTTGCTGTCAGTTGCAGCCTTTGTTAAGTTCTCTCGATTTTTTGAGCAGGGCACACGAAAAAGACGCCGTACGCCATTGTAGTCCTTGAGCGGAGTGGGCCAGAGGGGGGCTCAAGAAGTATGTAGGTAACTCGCTTAAGATAACGAGGAAATAGAAAAGGAACGACACGAGATGAGACGAGTCTTGATGGAATTGAGAGTTGCTGCAGAGCCAAGTCGCACGGTTTAAAGCAGAGCCGCAGCCAAGTCGAGCTGCAAGGGCTGCAACAATGTGGCAACTCCATCAAAAATAAAAAATAAATAAACCATTTGCCACATTTACACAAATGACAAAGTTTTGCACTTGAAAAGTTTGCCCTGGCATTCAATTAAATGAAATAAAATGAATTCAGCAAAAAATGGCTCATTATGAAAAATTGCGCAGAGAAAAGGCGGCTAACAAAAAACTGTGGCAGCAACAAAGGCGCCACAAAAAATGGCGGCGCGAAAGCTACTTTTTTCTCAACGCACACACACACACACCCACAATGCAAAAGGCACTGGCGAAGAGAGTCGAGCGTCGACTAACGGTAACTGCCAGCTGGCGACTGGCAACTCTGGAGAGCTCTTCAGACGTCGGCGTCGCCGTCGCCGTCGGCGTTGCCATTTATTTTATTATGCAAAACAAAAGGCAAAACAAAAACAACAGCAGCAAATGCGAATAAAATAAAATAAAATAAAATAAAAAAATATGTGTTATAGAAAGCATTTTTTTTCCTGAGCGTGCGCGCGCTTGGGCTTAATTGAAATTGTAACTGTCATTAATTACTGTCTGGAAATTTGAATTAACAACAAAACAAACAATGAGCAACAGCAACAATAACAACAACAGCAACAACAACACAGCGCAAACGGCGGCAAGCGACAGCAACAAAATGGCATTCGTTTTTTTTTTCTCCTTGTGCTCAATGGAAAATTGTTTTGAAAATAATTGAAAAACCTGTCGAATCGGCAATCGGCAATCGCCTTCATTTTTCCTTTTTATTATTATTATTTTTTTTTTTAATCAAAACTCTGCCCAGCTCCAGTGGGAATATTAAATATTGTTAAACAAAGCCCCCCGAGAGATGGATGTTAGCCTGGCTGACTAACTGACTGACTCGCTGACTGACGGGTCTCGAACAATGGCAAAGACTTCGACTCGGATTCGATTGCGACTTTGCATTGCGCTGCCAACACAAAAGGTCGAACTCTCAAGCCTTTTGCCCCGCCCACCGAGTCCTTTGTTGCACAATAAAGCGCAAACAATTGATTAGTTTGCAATTGGGGTAAAAGGCAACGAATCCACCTTCCAGAGCAGAGCGGAGTAGAGCAGGGCCCGAAGGTCGGCATGGCAATTGACAGGTGTGTGAGACGGTCGACGGATTGAAAGACTTCGACTTAATTACAACACGCTCAATCGAAACGGGCACCATCAAAATTAAACAGTTGTATAATTATGAAAGGAAAACCCTTGGGGCGTTCTAGCCAACAATGAGAGCCCAACTGCAAAAACAAGACGAACTAGCTGGGAAGGGCAATGCGAAAACAGTTCCTTGCAAAAGGAAAAACGTCCATTTGTTTCTGTTCAATTCTCTTACTTATCATGTTCGAATTGCGCTGACTGAACTAATCTAAATATCTTGGTTTAGGATGATAGTTATATAGAGTAGGGGAGGTACACACTAAGCCTTTATATAGAAACATTACTGTACGATTAGTGAAGAAAGAAAAAGAGAGAGAACCAATCAGTAGAATATTTTGTAGAAGGCAACTTTGAAGGAAATCGAAAATATAAGAATTTAGACTTATAAAATATATTAATAAAAAATAAAAAATAAATAAATAATAATAATAAATAAAAAGATCTGTGTGATCCCAGCTCAATAATAAACGTATTATAGTGGAAATGACGAATGGAGGCTTCTCCTGCACTCACCCCAGCTAAACCTAGCTCTATTTTATTCGATATATGTATGTATATAACATTCAGACACAGTCTTCCATCAATTATTTACAGCATATATTATTCATCATATATTATTCAGTCATCTCAATGCAGAATTAAAATATTACTTTTTTAGCCATAGAAAAAGTTAGCAGCTTAGCTGTTAAGCTATTGTAATATGACATAATGCCATCACCTGAATTGTCTATAAATATATTACACTCATATATTACCCTAATACTACACCATTTAATTATGTCCAACATTCTCTGAGCATCTACAATTGTATAACATTCTCCGTGAGCTTCGCTTCATTCTCCACTTTAGCCTCTCATGAACCATGGGTCAGTTTTTCCGCTTTTCCAGTGCTTGACAACGTCAAATTGCTGTGTAAGCAATATAATCTCTGGTCAAACGATGAGTTCAGATGGGAGCAAACGGTCGAGTGGCAGCCACGTTCAGAGCTCAGAGTAAACAGAAACCCCAAATAGTTCACGTCCAGACTCCATAATCCCATAAGTGGCCCAATTGTGTGATGTGTGAATGCTGGCCTCAGTTAGCCCCGGGAGCTGTCCCAAAAGTAGCCTTAGCCCCCCACTGCCAGAACTCTGTTCTAGAGAGGCAGAGCCAGGGTTACTCGCAGCCCCAATTGTAAACTGTGTGAACTACAAACTGCAACTGGAGCCGACGTCCGTTAAATATTTGCTCTGTGGTTAGCAGCCGGCATTTTCCAGTGTTTCTTTGGGCTGTCTTTCGGCTGGGGAAAAACTTGTTAATTATGCTTGAGCCAGCTCAACTGGCAGCCATCATCATCTCACATCTTGGCAACTGTCATGTGCAACTTGTACTTGTTTTTCATATCAATTATTAAGCCGGCCACTCAACCRGCTCCAGTTGCAGCTCCAGCTCCAGCTCCAGCCCAGCACAGGGGAGGCGCCAGACGGCAGCGGGCAAACATAGACATTGTCCAATTGTCATCCTTTTGTGGCATGTCAACTCGGCAGTGCGCCCTCCTTAGTTTATACAACTGCACAACTTGTAGATACTGCCCCACTCCCATTGTCTCTCTCTCTCTCTCCCTCTTTCTCACATTGCCTCACTCGTACGCTCTTCGCCTCTTGCTCGTTCTGTTGCGTCTTGTTTATTATTATGTGAATTGTCTGGAAGGCTGTGCCCCAGCCAAATGCTCCACAAGGTGTCGTGCACAGGAGCCAAGTTGCGCATTTGATGGCCAGTTGCCACTTGGACGGCCTGTCAATGTATCTATAAATTAGTATTTTAGCAGCAGCTGCCAGTTGTGGGGCAGCTACTTGCTTTATGAGTGCCACCAGCTTCGCATTGAGGGGGCGTGCAGACCTGCACATGAATGTGGGCGGGGGCGTGGGCGTGGGCGTGAGTGTGGGTACATGTCTAGTCTCTTGGCACAATTGTGCTTTTGTGCTGCGTTTATTGTTATAGTTTTTGTTCAACTACCTCAGCTTTTGTGTGTGTGTGTGGCTGTCTATTTGAGTACGCGCGTGTGTGTGTGTGGGCCTGACAGTCGTTGCTTCTTAGCCCGGTCAACCCCGTCCTATGGATAGCAGATAGCTTCTCATTAGTATTGTGTCGCCTCAACAATGCCATTTGTGTGACAGTGTGAGTGTGTTAGTGTGTGTGTGTTCCTTGCAGCTACTAAAATTATACGTTACAACTAATTAAGGACTTTTCCCCAAGTCCATTTCTTTTGTTGGGCATTTCCCTTACAATCTGCACAATGAGAACGATTACCTAGAATGGAATAGCGCAAGGATAAGCATTAAGGATAAGCAAGGAATAACTACATAGATAACTAGAACAGTAGATGCATTGTCAGCTCTAAAAAGAAGCTTTGAACGCCGACCACAATTCCCAATATGTTTCTAAGTGGATCAATAAACTTTGGAGCCTTACAACTGTCATAATCTCGATAAGTAAAGCTTATCTACACTTGAATATAAATACATATCAAATGCTCACACGCGTATTTAGCAATTAGCTAATCGTTAAGGCAATGGAATATGATGTAGGAAATATTGGATGTATATACTTGAAATAGTTCTGTCGGTATTCAAGAATTTGTAAATAGTCGAGACACGATAAAGACAGAATTTCAATAATTCGTTAGAATTGTTATCCCATTGGTGAAATTGAGTATTTCGTTAAAGGTTTTGTTTAGTTGAATTATGTTTTACAGACTCGTATACCACTTTACACTGAAAACAATGAGTTGAGAGAGCAAAACAATTTAAATAAATAAATTGAAATGAATTAAAAATATTATAAAAGAGTATTCTACGAATATCTAATAAATAGAAGTTTCCAATTGTGATTCTTAGATTTACTAAGTGCCCTAAGTACGAAAGCTATAAAATTATAATTACTATTATTATTCTTTAGCCTTGTTAAATAAAAATCTCGACAAATGGAAAACTCATATAGTTCTTAGAAAATATTGCTCTCTTGTCATACGAATTATCGGGATTCCACTGTATAAAGTTTTAAGTTTCAGTTTTGTGTTCTAATGGAAAAATAAACGAACGAGTCGAGGTCAAGTCCTCTGTTGTTGTCCTGATCACGAATATATCTACCACAGTTACCAAGCCTCTTTCTGACCGTTAAACACATTTGATTTAAAGACGATTTTCACACAGCAACTGGTATTTAGTTCATAAATGTATACATATATAAATATGATACATAAATATAAACTTATACCTAAATAAGACACACAAATATAAGCTTATACATAAATATACGAACTCACTTGAGACAAATAAGTAAAGTGCTGTTTGTGCCACATTTGCGATATCATCAGCGGGCTCATGACACATGTCATTATAACATTTTACATTAACTTAAAAACATTTGCAATTTCTGCTCACAATGTGAACGCACAAGCTGCCTGAGAGGCGACATACTAGCACATAAGCAAGTGGAGGGTCTGCCATGCCACTTGCCACTTGCCACTTATGAGTGTGTGGCACGTGCATCTGCCATGTACTACTATATGTGTGTGCACATTCATACAGCACAAATACAAACACAAATACAAAATACAAACTCACTTGCCGCCCTCAAAGCGAACGTTGGCTGAATGTTAGGGGCGCGAGAGCGAGACAGAATGCGGTACAAAAGCACGCCCCCAAACGGGCCCAAACCACCTGCTGGTTTTCGGGCCATTATCGTGCAAGGACTCGGCAGCATTCTCTAACCAGCCACTGCCGGTCTGAGGCATGAGGAGCTGGCTGACTGAGCTGACTGAGCTGACAAACAGGCAATGAGACAAACAACGAGACAACAACAACAACAACAACAGCAACAAGGACAGCAACAACAACAACAACAAACGACAAACGACAATGCCAAAACTGGCAACAATGGTGGCCACATAGACAGGGACACACGACGAAGATGGCCAAACGACAATAGAGAGAGATAGAGCGATGCAAAGGAAGTGCCAGAGGAGGAAAACGACGACAACATTGTTTCGTATTTGATATCCTTCTTGTTACCACAGAAAAGACAAGTTTATACTCCATGTCTATGTATGTGTGTGTATGTGTATGTGTGTGCCTGGCTGTTAGGAAATTATGTTGATGTGCGTCCACTTCTGGAGCAGGCTGTCATGAATGCGGCTCATTGTGTGGCCATATTTTGACAACTGCTGCAAATGCCCCACACAAAGTATCTAATGGATTAACGACTCTTCACATCGTATTATTCCCATTATTATTATTATTATTATATCATTATATTATAACTCAATTGCAGGTGCCGAATGGAAGCTGCTCACCGAGGAAGAGAAACGTCCGTTCATCGATGAGGCCAAGCGTTTGCGGTAAGTAGAGCTTGCTGCTCGGCTGAATCTCCTTTTCATTTGGCATTTTCCCTCTGCACAGCGCTATGCACATGAAGGAGCACCCCGACTACAAGTATCGGCCCAGGCGCAAGCCCAAAGCCCTGAGACGCGACGGCTACCCGTATCCCATGCCATATCCATCGGTGCCGGTGGAGGCGTTACGTGCAGGTAAGCAGGAATAACTTAGATTGAAATTTAAATAATTTGTTAGAACTCTGACGTAGCTAGTAACAGAACTCTAGAGCTGTCCGAACATAATATACCCTGAACCCCGAATTAGGAGAAGATATAATAAATAAAAAAACAATAAAGCTTGTATAACATAAACATGACACTGAATAAAATATAAACATATTTGAAGTTCTTTCTGCAAAGAAAATCGAACTGCAAATAAATAAGTGAACATCGAATATTTTAAGTCGATAACAGTGAAATAGTTAGTGATCTTCTTGTCTGCACATAATGCATGCGGCCCTACATACAAATTTGAGCTCTTTAGCTCTTGTGAGTACCGAGATCGACGCGTTCACACATACGGAAGGACGGAAAAATAGAGGAACAGCACTAAATCGACTCAGCTTACAATTTTGATCAGGAATATATATATTTTAAAAGCTCAGCCACGGTTCCTTTAGACATACAACTTCACAAAAGTATTATCCTTTATTCCTCATTTAGAATGGGATCGAGCTATACACACTACAATAGATGCATGTCCTACATACCAAATTGGTTTCACTACTTTGTAAAATATATCTCAAAGATCTGCAGAATGAAAACTAAAATACAATACAAGACTCAATGCAAACATTTCAAGGAACTAAAACAATCGAAATGCCACAAGCAGTCCCATCAATAAACCAATTAAGTTTCATGCCGAAGACCCTTCGAAGCACCCGCTATGGAAAGTAGAAGGGTGCGTTTTATGAGCTTTGGCGCAAGACAAATGCAAATGTGGCACGATATGTGGCCGGGTTCCACCCAGGCGAAGCACTATAAATGAACCTGAGGACTGAATGAGAGTATGACAAACTATCCTCACACTCGAGCGGTTGACTGGCTCGACTGGGGTTTTGTTTGTGCGGCAAACAATGGCGCCCCCACCTGCGCAATATGGCGTCGGGCGCGGGGCGAGGCAGCCGAGGGGCGGCAACTACGAACCACCGGAACCACCCATTCGCATGCTCTGACAAACTGTGAAGTCATCATCCTGGCTTAACAACTCAATTCAAGTGACAGAACAGACACACACGATAGACGCGACAGACACGACAGGCAGGACAGACGGAAGGACGAAGGACAGACATAGGCAGAGCATAAGCATAAGTTAACATTCATGATTTCCCCAACCAGTGGGTCGGCGGGGGTGGCAGTTCGGTCTGTAGTTGTTTTGGATTTGGTTGGAGGACTTAAATTAGCATTTGTCACGTTTTTTGTCTTTTTTGCCCGCTTGGGCCCTCAAATTTAACGCAACTTTCTTGGCTTCACTTTGCTGATGTGGCAGCAAATTTGTGCGTTGGCGTTGCCGTTGCCATTAGCATTGGCATTGGCTCAGGGATCAGCGGCCCTGGGCTAAGGACAATGCCATCCAGATGATTTATGCGCAACGGAAATGATAATAAAAATACTAGGAAATGCGTAATAAATAAACCGAATTAGGCTTTGCCTTTGCCTTTTCCATTGCCTTTGCTCAAGTCTCACTTCAATGCACACGGCACTATCTAAAATGGCTTTGCGGAACAAAGATGGCCAATTGTGGCCAAAGAACGTCAGACAAGGACGTAGCACATATGCCAACTGAGGCATGCAACAGCTGGAGGAGTGGAATAGTAGTAGTAGGAAGAGTGAATAGTAGTAGTAAACTAAAATACAAATATACTCAAATATAAAATAAATATAATATAAATAATTATTTCAATGCAATTCATAAGATTCTTAGCCAGATAAAATATTATAAAGACTGCCTTAAATAGGTATCAATTATTATTTTGCAAGAAATAATGCTTTTAGTGAAATTATTTATTATTACCGATATTTACATACATTGAAAAATGTAAACAAATTTTAGAAAGCCAAGACATTAACACGCCTCAACTTTGGCAAAATTGGCTTTGAAAGAAATCAGTTCTCTGGGGGCTTACAAGAAATCCCTGAACAGTGCCTAGGTTGGGCCATAATGAAAAGTTGTTTTGCGATATTAACACACGATTTCAGTGTTTATTGTGATATTAATTCAATAATAATAATAATAATAGAAGAAGAAGACAAACAGCAGCTACCAGTTAAGGCCTTGTGTAGTACCTAATCCGCTGTTATATGATATATAATGGCTATGAAGATGCAGATGAAGATGAGATGAAGATGAAGCTGAGATGATGCCAAGTCGTTTGATGTCGAAATGTCGCTACTTGAGGCGAGCAAAAATGCTTTCGGCTTTGTTGCCGAAGCAATTTTAATTGCCACAGCATCCAACGATTTGGAGACTCTCTCGGCTAGCGCCATGAATGAGATGTATTTTTCATAGATATATAATTTAATTGTTTTATTTTATTTTCAATAAGCGGCGCCAGTAATTATCGAGGCCCCGTTAACAAAAGGCCAAGAGGGCAGCCGGACGACTACCGTTTAGGGCAATTGGTTAGCAGCGCTTGGCATCTATCAGATGCAGAGATAACTCTCCCAAAATAGCTGATTCAGCGCACAATTATATGGAGGCAACGCAGACAGAGAAAGAGCTAACTCGCTCCGAAATATATGAAAGAGTTGGCCGAGGCCGAACAAAGGGCGCAAAATATTTCGAGTGGCAATTATTTTAAGCGCACAACAGACCCAAACCAACCATTGTAATAATTATTGTAAACTTATTTCTTTCTTTTTCTTCGCCGATGTTTCTGTTGTTGTTGTTGTTGTTATTGTTGTTGTTGTCTTGTTACCTTCTCTCACTTGAGTTTGTTTGGTTTCACTTGCAGGCATCTCGCCGGGTTACTTTGCTCCGGGTCCCACAGCGGCCGCCTATCACCTGGGCAGCCATCTCACGCAGACGTCGCCGCCAACGACAACGCAGGTGAGTACTGGTCTAGTCGGCAGCGTATTCCAGATCCACACTCCAAAGCCCGGTCCTTGGTCGGGGCTTGGGTCGGGCGGGGGTTAAGCGCTCAAGTGCCTGGCACGTCCATCAGGCAGCAGACAAAATAAATGCTGAACGGTAGCGCGTCCAATTACATCGATCGGTACGCGGGTCGGGTCGCCTTAATAACATAATTACAAACTCCCATGGCAGACGCCCACTTTAAAAGGCGGAAAACAGGCGGCCGTGACTAAGCGCGACACGCTTCCTGATCACGATTCGATCCTGGTCGAGTTCTGACATGTCATGCTAAGGATTTGCCACAAGTTGTCATTGCGCATTTAGCTACCAGGCACCCGAGATCGCCGAGATAACAAGGCCTCGAGCGCAAAAACAAACAAATAACGGGCAGGTGCTACAAAAGCCTGAGCAACGGGGTGCGGGTACGGATGCGGGTACGGGTACACCCTTTGTAGGGTCCAGCTGAGCAGCACGAGAAAAGGGAAAAATTAACAAAATTGGCAATTAAAACTTGGAGCAGTAGCAATACGCACTCGAAGCAAAGGTTTCGGGCAGGCTCCAGCCATTGAGGGCGTTGCGCAGACCTTTTCTCAGATCCGTTGGGGAGATGCTCTCGCCCTGCTTGAGGCCCTCGCCCGGACAGCCATGGGCCGTGTGTTTATTAACAACCCATTAAAAGCCATGACTGTTGCTTGGCATTGTTGGAGCGGGGCTCTTGGCTGCCTATTTGAGGCTGTGATTGATGTCTGCGGCTGCTTAACATGCGTTGCGGGTGTTGAAAGCCTGGCATTACTGGCCAACAATAGCATTACTTGGTTAATAATATGCTTCGGCCCGGCCGTGCTATTGTAATAATAGACCAACTTTAAAGGCAACAAGCGTTCCCGTTGCCCAAACTGAAATCTGTACATGGAAATTGCATGCGAGTGGGCGGATTAGACGACGGCCAAGCTGCCATTCACTCATTCCACAACTCACCTTTACACATCACTATTATGCGGCTGGCCACCAAGCCCAAGTTTAGAAACATTCCAGAGCCACAAAGGGGCTGGGGCTATGCCAGTCGCCTCTAGACTACAATCGATCCTTGTTTCCAAGCATCCCAGAGTTTGCTCAGCTGACTGCGGAAATGTACCCAATGCACCCAATGACAACAGCCAAGCAGCCTTTGCGACAGTTTAGCCACCTGCCCTAGCCGAAACCCTAGCGGGCTCCGGGCTTAAGGCTCAAACCACTTGAACACATCCAGCTAAATCAATTAACTGACGAAATAATGCCCAATTGAGAGCGACCGAAATACAAACACCAACTGCGCGTAAATCGCCGTGCATCAAAATATTTACCAATCCTCACTAATTCCCAATTGGGCGCAAATCAAATCAAATCAAATTGTAATCCAAAACGCTTTCGGCCCAAACACGCACACGTACACGCACACGCACACACACATGGAAAGGGATCCGGGTCTGTTGGCGCTGATGTTGTTGCTGGTGATGATGATGGTGATGATGATGTGTTAACAACATAATTATAGCCCAGAGCAAAGTGCTCTGCGAACGGGGAGCAACCCCTCGATTCAACCACTCAAAACAAAACGGATATGAAGCAAAACAACCCCTGACGCACTTAACATTGCGCACCCGTTCACCAGAGCCCAGAGCCCAATACCCAGTACCCTGTAAACAGTACCCAGTTCCAGGCCAAGTCCCGTTCCCAGATCAAGTCGTCGACGACTTGAACCGAACCCCGTAGCACACCAACGACTGGTGTTGCAATGAGAAACGTATTGCAAATCAAATAACATTAAACTGAGACGTGTTTTTCTATTTACTTGCCGTGTGGGGTTGTCCACAATTAGTTGGTCAAATAAAGCCGCAAAAGTGTTAAGCAATTTGCACTAACCAAGGGTTACGACTCACACCCCTGCCATACCCCCATTAGCGACAAACAGGTCCTCGTTTAGAAATCAGAGCACACTACGTCTATTCAGAAACAGATTAATAATTTCCCATATTAAGTGAATAGAGTAAATTGGCGTAGTTACAAGCTATACTTCAACACAACTGAGAGGGACAGTTCCCTCTCCCTCTCCCTCTCTCTCTCTCTCTCTCTCTCTCTCTCTCTCTCTACTTTTTGCTACCTGTTCCTTTTTGGGTTTCTCTCCATCTATATTAACTTACTTAACTTATAGCTCTCAGGCTATCTCTATCGCAGAATCTCTGTCTCCTAACCGTGCTTAATAATCTGCCTCTAGCAGAGTATATAGATTTTTGTTAAAGTGTATTTAGATTGCTCGCTCTCTATCTTTCTCTCTCTCTCTCTCCCTCTACACCCTACACCCTCTACCCGACTACAATATTCTTGCTGATTTGTCACTTGATTAAGATTACAATCTGAAATTAAATTGGCAGTTGAAAGTTTGAATTAAGTTGACTTGAAAAGAAATTCGCGTCAGTAAGTTCGTTCGTATTCACTGCAGACTTGACATCCGCCGTCATCTTTAGCTTAGCTGATATATTGAATCTACTAATATACTGTTTCTGCTTCTTTTCAGGCCACACTCTCCGGGCAGATGGACAAATTTGCCGCATTGGAGCGCAGCTCATATCTGAGTAATGCAGCAGCGGCCGCGGCGGGCAGCCAGGCGAGTGCATACAGCGCCTACCTGGACCCCAGTGTGCTGACCAAGGCCTACTTCGACTCGAAAATGTATCAGGATCGTGCCAACTATGCCTTTGACATTTCCAAGATCTATGGCGCCCAGCAGCACGCGGCGGCGCATCATCAGCAGCAGCAGCACCAACAACAACAGCAACAGCAGCACCAGCACCAGCAGCAGCACCAACTGCTCATGGCCAGCAGTGGAGCAGGCGGCGCAAGTGCTGGGGGTGCTGGCAGTGCTGGTGGCAGCTCGCACAACAACAACAGCAGCAGCGGGCTGGACGAGCGCGATGCCACGCCCCAGCTGGACGCGGGTGGCCAGGAAGCCAAGCCGCATCTGCACTCGCCCAGCGATGTGGGCTTGGACTATGCTCATCAATATGCTCAGCAGTATGGCGGCCAGTTGGCCAGTGCCGCCGCGGGCGTTGGAGTGGGAGTGGGCGCCGGGGCGGCCGCTGGTGGTGGGGGCGGCGCTGGGGGCGCCTCAGATTTTCGTCGACCGCTGACGGTCATCTTCTGACCACCATCGTCCAATGGTAGCGAGGAGCTAAACTTATCTATGACTTAGGAAATGCGAGATTAAAGTTAAACGTAGCCAACTTTACAGTTAAGCCTCCAGTTGTAAATTAATCATAAGCTTTGTTAAAACGAAGAGCAGCTGCACAGCAAACACAAGCAGAAGCAGAAGCAAGAGAAGAAGAAGGAGAAGGAGAAACAGGAGCTAGCTACAGCAGCAAGGAGCAGGAGCAGGTGCTGGAGGATTCACGAAAGGCAGAACAACGAGCGGTGCAATTTTTTATGTTTTAAACGCTGAACGAAGTGCATAGCATAAATTTAAATGTATTTAAATTCTACACATATACAATATTAAAATACAAAAACAAAATACAACAAAACAAATGAGCTCATTTCAAATAAATGATTAACTACTGCGTGATCTAGTCGCGGCTGTTCGACTAAGGTCTAGCCCTGAGCGAAGCCTACATAAGTTTTGTCATTCCCCACATGTCCGTAATACCCATTGAAGCTCCTGAAGAGGCCATTCGATTTTACCAGAGAAGGAAGGAATGAACTTAAGACGATAGCCGAAAACATTTTTCACACTTAATTAATTCTATTAGTTTCAAATAGATTATATGACATCAATTTATATTGAGAAATTTTCTTTTCTATTTCCTACCTTTACTCAATTTCTTTTTCATTGCACTTCAGCTAATTCAAAGTTTTCCCATAAAAAAACAAGCAAGCAAACAGAGCAAAACTTTTTTATTGTTCTCCATTTAATTTTTAATTATTTATATCCGACTTGCCGCAGTGTGGGTGGTTGAAGGAGCCCTAAATAGTATGAGCACTGCTGGCGGGGGTTGTAGACTTGACAAAAGTCAAGAGCGCGCGAAACGTTAAACGCTTCCTAATTAAGGGAACTTCTCGTGGCAGCTCCTTCTGGCCAATCAGCTGCCGTGGCACGTTGACAAACACACGCCGCGCATTTCGTTTGCTCAAGCAGCGGCAACAACTCAAACAAATTACCGTTAGCCACTAATTAGTGCGACTCAAGGTGCAAAAATCGCCGTAAATTTAATTAATTTTACGCCAAGTTGAACACAGCCGCAATTAGCGAAACTGCCCTAGTGGGAAGGGGTTCAGCATTGCATGGTGCATTGTGAGCCTTGCTCCAATGCAGTGCATTGCATAAAATATATATATATAATAATAATTCATGAATTTCAATTTATAGCCACGTTTAATTTGATATGCAATCAAATTCTGTTTTAACTTGTGATGGCGCTAACACCGCACCACGAGTGTGTTGACACCTAGAGGGCGCTTAATCATTTGACAATATTCATAGATTACCGCTAGAGGGCGCATACTCAGTAATTGTGCTGCGAGATTTGAAACAAACTGCGTGTTATTGAATATTGTTTTGCTACTGCTTGCTAGATGGCGCTATTCCATGGCATCGTGTTCTGTTTCCTACCACATTATATTTCACCATGAATTTTTACCGCCATCTAGGGTTGATAGTTATATTGAATACAAAATAATTCAAAGTATTTTGAATATATTATCGATTTCGGTTGATATTTTATGAACTAATTATGTATTTGCATTCATTTACAAATAGTTAATATATAATATATTTGATATTAATGTTACTAGTTATGAATGTCGAAATAAATTAATTAATGTCGAAATGAATGAATTAATTAATTAATTTCAGTTGATATTCTTGAAACTATGACTTTCACTCATTATATTCATCCACGAAAGTGAATTAGTATATTGGTTTTGTGCAATGTCCGTTTTGCTGTCCGTCCGTCTGTCCGTATAAACGCAGTTTATCTCGGCGCTATTGAAGCTAGAGACTTGAAATTTGGAACACATCGTGTGTATCTCCGATTTATAATGTGTTAAAATTTCTCGAACCACCCACTAAGGGCGTGGCAAATCTGCCATTTCTACAATACCGCATTTTCTACAGTATTTGAGTTAAACTTAGCTGCAAATTGCTGATGGGATGTGAATGAGTATTCTGCAGTCGGTAACGGCCAACTGCAACGTTCTTACTTGTTTTCAAATAGGTAATAAAACATGCGCTAAATAAAACTAACGTTGAGCATATGTTTAATATTAATTATGAATGTCAATATGAAAATTAAAATATCTGATCTTAAATATTTTGTATTTTTCATGCATTGTTTATTTACCATCTGTCTATTTGGACAATTATTAATTATGACACATATGAAATGGGAGACTGTATACAAGACTTATAACAGTGAGTGAAGCTAAGATCAAAATTAATTATTTATTTATTGAATTTATATATTTATATTTAGAAATTAAGATACGCTTGCAGCTAAAGCCTTATATATGTATTTGAAAATCTACATATAAAATAGAAATAATAACTCCAATGTTAAATAATATTTTTCATATTAAATTGGGGTTGGATTTCATTGAGATATAAATATTTAAATTAATCAATAATGATATTCTATTTCAACTGTTAACAGCTATTTGATTTAATAGAAGAGAGATTTTAAATTTTGGTTAAATAATTTGTAGGCCATCAAAAGGAAATAGCCATCAAGAAATATTAGGATACTTGACCAAAACAATGTTCGTTATTGTCTAGTAGTATATATAATCAAATAGATTTTTTAATAATATTCTATCCAATCTTCATCAGATTCACCTTGTCGCATTGAGATATTAGTTTTTTTTGCCAACTGCCACGCACACAGTTTACCCACTTCAGTGGTCGCTGCAGTACTCTGCCTTCACTTTTTGCAATGGTTTCCCTGCGCTCACTTAAACCACAAATCACGATTAGCCACATTTCCATTTTGGGGCTAAAAAAAACTTTCGACCGCACATGGAAATTGCGGGCGATGCGGTAACGATGGCGACGATGGAGACGACGGAGATGATGGCGACGACTCCCCATAAATTATTGCAGCTGAAGCACAGCCAAACAATGCGCAGTCCGTGGACAATGAGCGGAGGCTCGGCTCAGGCGAAGCAGCCGAGGGACTGGCTGGCCAAATGTCACAGAAAGCTCTTCAAAAATACCCAAAATTATGGCAATCATGCAGCAGGCAAAGTTCTGGCCGGGCCCGGGCGCCCAAGTGGCGGAATGTTAGTTGGCGGAATTGAACGACGCTCTGCTCATTGTCCTGACGCCGGGCATAATAGAGCAGCCATAATGTCCATTATGCGAGAACAAATGGCAGCTGGCATAGTGTGTGCCAGGACACGATAACACTTGCCAGAACTGAGCAGCAGCAGGAGCACCAGCAGCAGCAGTAATAGTCGACCGAGTGGGAGAAGCAGAGGAGCAGCAGGAGTCAAACAAAACTACGGCCACCAGTTGCTGCCCATTGTCTTGGCCCTGCGCCTTGGCCAATAAAATGCATTCAGCTCGCATGCAAAACAAAAACGATAAAAAAGCCGTCACCATTGAGAACGCGTCTAAGCAGCCGCAGCGACATCCACAGCTCCCACTCCTCCGGAGCATTGTCTATGCCATTGGCCGAAGCGCCAAGCGAGCGTCGACATGCGCGCAACGTCGTCGCACAAAGGCACCACTGGGGTGGGGTGGGGTYGGAGCTGTGTGGGGGTGGCCGGAGGAGGGTGGGCAACAGTTGATAGCGCTGCCATTTTTAATGTCGCACGGGCTGTGGGGGCGTCTGCTCCCCGCCCCTGCCTCCTTTCTGCTAGCCAAAAACTCTACACAGCGAGTCGAGCGCCTTGGAGAGCGACGCATGCGCCAGGCTGCAGAGGGAAAACTTATTTGAAATTTCCGCCAGTTTTGGCGCGAAACGTGCATCAAGTGGAGAGTCTCAAAACAAACATGTTTTGAGCTGTGCTCTAAGTACTAATTTCCTAGAATAAAACTACTCCATAAAAGGCGCTCTTTTATAAGACCCCAATCGCGAATCGAAGCATAACAAATTTGTTATATTTTACGACTTCAATTATTTGGAAAATAATGGCAATTCGATGACGAATTTCCTGTGGAGCACGCAGCGAACGGGAAGGGCCACTGAGCCGGCGACTCCCCTCTTTAAACAATTGAAGTCAAAGGGTATCGGAGTCCAGCTACGACTGCATACACACAATCAGAATATACGACAAGATAATCGCGTGTTTGCACTCCGATCGCACTTACGATCGATTGTGGGCGCAAACAAGGAGTCGGCCAAATTTCGATAAGCAACTGGATTAGCTGAGTGCGGCTATGGTATATTGTATGATAATACACGAATCTCACCTTAAGGGAAGCATCGAGAGTAAACGGACCTGGGGCGAGGGCCAAACAGGACAAACAGTTGGTCAACACAAAAAAAGAAAAAAGAAAGAAAGAAACAGGCCTCATAAGACAGTTATTGACAGCGAGAGCAAACACAAAAACAACTGCAAATACAAACACAAATGCAAAATGCAGAAGGTAAGAAACGTGAGCAGCGAGCAGTGAGCAGCAGCAGAGGCAGAGGCAGAGGCAGCAACTTTTTATCACTTAGCCGCCGCGTTGGCGATGCCAGCGCCGTCTTCGCGTCCTCCGAGCTGCGACGACGAGCACCAAATAGCAACAAAATAGCAACAACAACAACAAGAGCAACAATGAACTCTACAAACACCCGTCGTGCATTCTCTCGCTCTATCTATCTCTCTCACCTTCTCTCTCTCTCTCTCTCTCGTTCTGCTGGTCGTTCGCTCTTTGTCGCACGCTAATTGGCTCTTGCTCGCTCCTGTGGTACAGAGAGCGAGCAGGCAACGCGCAACCACTACAATAACAAATTTACCCCCGCACACACACACTCATGCACTCATACACTCACACACAGACACACGCTCGTAGTTGAGTTGATTTCAGTTTTTGTTTGCCGCTTTTCCCGTTTTTGTTCCGCCAACTGTCGCAAGTTTTCGAATGCCATCCATAGATTGTGCCCTTAGTCCATAGAATATGTGGTTCAAATCAAAACTGTCGCGCACTCGACACGGACGCACCGGCTCCGGCAACGCACTCGGCTCGGGGTTAGTTCAGTTTGAAAAGGAAGCGAAGCTTCGAGCGCACAAAAGCGCCTTTCAAGTGCCAACTTATCCACAGTGTTTAGATCGCAATTAAAACTTGAAAGCAAATCATGACAATGAATTATAACATTTAGTGCTGCATATCTCAAAAGAGTCCATCCGATCACGGATCAGAAGTGTTGACAAACATTACATTGATTGCCTAAAGCAGTGTTGTTGAACGAGCTTAAGATTTAACCCTTCCCGGGATTACGGCACCAAATCCGCAACTGTACAAAAGGTGAGCATTCATGAGTATCAGCAAAAGATAAGGGAACTTCACATGACTCACTTGACATGTGTGTTTGAACATTGTTTGATTGACCGATTGAGTTTCTATTTACCCACACATATCAATTATTCGATTTAGTGGAATCTATCAATTTGAGTCTTTAAGTAAATACCAGAAAAGGGTCAAGGCGTTGGTGTGTTCAATATAATACTAATACTAAGATCTGCACTCACGTAACTACCGATCTTGTTATCTGATTTAATTTAAACAAAAATATATAATAATAGTTTACTCTTATATCTTATCTTCAGTAACTTCTTATATATTAAAAATATTAA